AGTTTAACTGCAAGTTGCGGAAAGCCTCATCTCTCTCACATGGAGGGCCTGGAGGATTTGAGCTGCTGGCCGCGAGGTTCGCAACCAGGTTTTTTTGTTTGTTTGTTTTAACCACTACACTACCAGGCCTTCCTTGAAGATGGCCGATCAGGTAGATGTGTAGTGAGGAGCTCGGTCAACAATAACACGGAATACCGGGTCAAGAGGACTCATGAGTTGGTGTTGGAACTCTGTTAAAGGTATGTTTGGAGGTTCGGAGGGTTTATAGCTGGGGAATTTGCAGGAGAATCCAGAAATTCATTATTTTCTGGATCAAGACACTCAGCTGTTCCAGGAGCCACCATCTTGAGAAAGCTTATCTTGATTGTACCAGGATTGATAGGATTAGGAGAGAACATCTTGATTGTATAGGGTTTAAGAGGCTTTAAATCTCCAAGGTTGCAGAAATCCTAGTCTTTCACTGGCAAAGAGGCTGGTGGGCTCAAACCATGGACCTTGTGGTTCGCATGTAGTCCAGTGCTTATCATATGGAGCCACTGGGCCCCCTGTAATTCCATAGTGGATAAGCAATCCCTAATAGACTAACTTACTTCAGAAAGGGAAGGAGTGAATGTGAATGTTGAGCTTAAGAAAGGTGCACTCATTGGAAATATCAGTAACAATAATAAATCGCTGGTGAGCAGTATTACCCAAGCGATTATGGGCAACTTTTCAAAAACGTTAAGAGCAACAGGTATGCCAATTACTTATAATATTCCTGCTTGATTTTTCCCAAAGGTGAGTGATAAAGACACTCTAGTAAGAAAGGATTTAGTCTAAATCCTTTCATGGTTTATTGCATATTTTTTGAACTTCCGGAGCATTTTCAAATAATTACAGTAAATGTGACATCATTGTACTCCTTCTCTGTATTGTAACTCCCTACTCCCCTCGTTCCCTAATCTTTTGTCTCAATGATTTACCTGTTTTAGCTCTTTCATATAAGTGGTTTCATACAGATCTGGCCTTTTCTCTTTGGCTTTCCTCACTCCCACAGGATGTTTGCAAAGTTTATCCATGTGGTGGTGTGTATCAGAACTTCATTTCTCTTTGTAACTGAGGAATCCTGCTCTGATTGTGTACAGAGCATGCCCTTCGTCCAGTCTTCTGTTGACGGGCATTTGGATTGTTTGCATCCTTTAGCTATTGGAAATGGTGCTGCTTTGCACACTGGAACAATTGGGAGAAGGATGATGTGATGGTTTTGCAGAATGACCAGTGGAATCAAGGGCACTGACTTGGAGAAGCTGTTGAGCTTGAGTACGTCATTCTTGTTGGGAAGAGCTTCCTGCCCGGTGTTTGTGTGGCATTGAAGTGGATACCTGGTCAGGAGACACACCTCTATTTCCCTCACCCCTACACAGCCATCACCCCATGATCTTTCTCAAATGCTGCCAATAACGGAATCTGGCCACCGAGACTCCTGCCTTTCCCCTGCCTGCCCCATTCATCTGTGGGCACAAGTTTGCCTCCGATGGCCCTCTTCCAATACCCAGGGCCTTGTCTCATTGCCTGGCTCTCCTGAACGCCAGGAACCTTGCTCTTGTAAAGTCTCAGGTCTTCAAAGAAAAAAAGAAAAAAACACTATCTATGATGTCTGTTTTTAGGTGGAAATAATCCAGGCTAAATCAGTTCTGTACAACAGGAGTTAAATTGCCAAGGATATTAAGGGAGGAAAATCCCCCAGCATTTAGGGTTTTTATTTCCAAAGGTCTATTTCTGGGAAAGAGCCTTTTTGATTTTCCCAGACTAAGGGACTTTTAAGTTTCCCTTCTCCAAAGTTCCCCAATTCAATTAATTTTGTTCCGACTCCCTCTTCTCTTCCATAACTGCTCTTTTTTTTGCCATCTTCAGTTCTGCGTGGTCAATTCTCCAACAGAGCCTCTTCACACGGCTCCACCCTCGAGGTCTTCCTGCTCTTTAATAATCTCTGCTTCCAGCCTTTGCCTGTGCATATCCATTATCCGCTCTGTGTCCTACAGAGCCTCACATCAAAACCCTGCTACTGAGGGAGACTGGGAGAGTTTTGATTTTACAGACATCTGACTAGCGACGATGGAATGTCTGTGGCTATTTGTAAACCAGATTTGCTCCTCTCCTTGCTTCTGCCCATCTTACCAATAAGCCCTGAGTAGGCAAGGAGGCAGTCAGCGTAGTTTTCTTTCAGACAGCTGCTGACAGACCTTGACTCTGGTTGGCAGTTGGTAAAAAAATCTGCAAGGCGAGACCTGCAATATCAAAAAAGGGGGGAGATGTGTTTTAAAACCTCATAAGCTTCTGGACAGTTATCGGGTTTTTTTTTTTACTCTTTTGTTCAAATGTCTTTTCCACACATACACAGTATATATATATATAAAATGCAAATATTAAAATGTTAACATTCTTTCATAGACAATTCCCAAGCATCCTCCTCAGACCCTCAGCCCCCGCCCACCTGTGTGTGTCTGCTTATTTGGAGAGACGTCTTCAGGGCCTATAAACTGGAGAAATCTTAATGCTTTGAAGTTTCCATTCAATATTTATTTCTGACTAGACTTATTTGCATCTGTAGGAAGTTTGCTGCCCCACATGCTCACCAGAGAGCCACACTGGGAAAATATTTACTTTCTACAGACACATGTCCCTGGCATCAAAATAGCATCCTATAGACCATCTGCCTAGGCAATTCCTACGGGTTTTAAAAATACATATATCTGTCTTGTAAACCCTCCCTTATCCACCAACCCAGGTGACACTGAGGAGCTTGCCCTTCCAGAACTGAAGGAAGAGCTGAGAGGGGCAGGAGGTTCTTGCTCTGTGGCGGGAACACCTATCTTTGATGGAGTGTGACAGGCTGGGGGCTAGATGCAGCATCCTGACAGTTCACGATCAGAGGAGCAAGTCTGTCTGCAATCTGGGAACCTTCCAGAAACCAGCACAGTCCAACTGGTATTTCTGGGTTGTGGGAAATTGTACCCAGTTGCTACAGGGTCAATGTTGACTCATGGCAATATGATGTGTTTCTGAGTAGAACTGTGTGCCAACATTTCTCAGTGGCTGATCTTTTGGGCCATAGATCACCAGGCCTTTCTTCTGAGGTGTTTCAGGGTGGACTCAAATCTCCAACCTTTTGATCATCAGCCAGGCACATTAACTATTTGCACCATTAACAGGGACTCTGGGGAGGTTGCAGAAACCCAGAGATGGAGAGATGCTTCAGGTCCATGGATCTGAGAAGGAAGAGACCAACTGGCTGTTTTTAACTCTGAAGAGGGTATTGTTGGAGAAATCATGAATGAAGGTCATCTCAGCAGACAACAGCTCCATTTCTCTGTGAAGAGCACAGTGGACTTCAAGAGAATTTAAATGATCCGGCAATTACGGGAGACAACGGGAGGTTGTCCCAGCTCTCTTCTGTCTCTAGTTCACTGAGTTGGCAGCCGACAGACCCAGGGCTGATGTTACTTTTGTTCACCCAAGAACTGTACTTACTCAGGGCACTTTAGCATAAACGGCGTGGTCTGGTGGGGCAGAGTGGGTAGGATGTGAGGAGACCACATATGGCTGGCACAGGGGAAGTATGGTAACACCCCTTTAGGACAATTTTAGCATGAGGGGGGATTAGAAGGCGGGATGAAATTCTCTCTGTCACAGAGCACTGCAAAGGCAGCGGGGTGTTTGCATGAGGTGGGCTGTCTCCTTGAACCCTCATAAACAAGACCTGCCCTTTTCTGAGTCCATCTGGCACACTCTGCGTTCTGTGTGACTGACGCATCATGGTGAATCCCCAGGGCAGGTGGCAGAGGGCTGTCTGATTCTTCCTGCCCAGCACCTGACACTCTTCATAGAGGGCCTGTATAATGCTTTCCTAGCAGGGCCATGTGCAGAAGCTAAGTATCTTAGCCAAACCCTCCACATGTGCCTTGTATACCTGGATCACACCCAGCCCGCATCTCGCTGATGTTTTTTTTCTAACTCTAATTGCATACACTGAAGGGTATAAAACCTGGCCATTTTCTGTAGCCTGGATAAAGGATTTATTTTTCAGAGACAATCCCTGAAGATGGCTCAGGCTTACTCAACTGGCTCCAATCACATCCAGCTTGGGTTGTATGCCAATTTCAGAAGAATTTTCATCGTCATGAAAGTTAATGATCTAGTGGTGTTGGGCTTCTGACTTCACAAAGGCCAACTGCAGTTCAGGCAGCTGGGGCCCTGGCTTCATATACAAGCTGGCCACTGAACAGTTCTCTGACCAGGCAGCCCCCCACTGTTAGGCCCATCCCCCAGAGATGGTGCACAGTCGCTGCCTCTGCATCTCTTCTTCCTCCTAGTCTCTTGAGCAGACTATTAGCTCAACAACACAGAGCGGTGGATTACTGTCCTTCAGCGCGAGGCTAATACCACCAGACTTATTTTGCTTAACAAACTCAGAATTGACTCACAATTGGACTATGAGATGAAAGGCTAATTGAGTCAGTCTGCTGCAGAGAGCAGGGGGAGTAAGACTAAGTACATTGCTCGGAGCACAACTCTGGACAGGCAGCTTTTGGAGAGAAGATCGTCATCACAGATCCTGGCTCTAAGACTAACATAGCCCGTGGAAGCAAAGAGCGCTTCCAAACAAGACCGTGTGTACACAACCAGGCCCATGGCTCTCTCTCATCTGAGACCCCATCTCTCTGACACTTACACCTGGAGACAGAGCAGGCACATGCTAACATTCCCATTTCACAGGTAGAAAAAGTGGAGATGTTGATTGCGTGGTATATTGGAGCCAGGTCATTGATACATTGTCAGGTATTTTGAGAGATGGTTAACAACCATAGTGGTAGGTTGGAATTGGCCATGGTAGGAATATTGACAGGAGTCCTTGGATGGCCCAAATGGTTAGATGATCAACTGCCAATGGAAAGGCTTGGAAGAAAGACCTGGTGACCTCATTCCAAAAGGTCCCAGCCATTGAAAACCCTATGGTGCACAGTTCTACTCTGAATCATAGAGGTTGCCATGAATCACAGTCAAATTAAGGACAACCGATTTGATTTAGGAGTATTTACAGCACCCTACAAATCATGCTTTTGTGTTGTTTTTAAAGAAGCAGTTGTGAAACATATACCAGCAGAGTCCTGTGTTTTATCATCTTAAGAACGGTATGATGTAGCCAATCCATTGATGATGAACGTGTCCTGACCCCAGAGCCTAGTCCTAGCCCTTTCTCTCCCAACTCTGACCACCCTTGTGCTAAATGAAATGGCATAATGCCAACTGACCTCCAGGTTTCAGTCCTTTCCAGAGGAAGAAAATGATCACCCTAACCCCAACCAAGATTGCTCTTGGCACGTCTTCTCTTGTCATCACTTTCCTCTAAAACCTTAAAGGAATGTGGGCAAATGGCACGTGTGTGGACAAAGCAGCTAAATTCCAGTTCTTTCCATTGGCTGAAGGCTGTGCCATGAGTTGTGAAATGAATAAGACCCTGATACTGTCCAAAGCCACCACAGTCTAGAAGTAGAGACATACAAGTAAAGGGTTTAAAACAGTACCATGGCTAATTATTGATCAAACCAATATCAGGATTGGAGGAAGACTCATTAACAACCTGTGATATGCAGATGGTATAACCTTGCTTGCTGAAAATGAAGAGGACTTAAAATACTTACTGATGTAAAGATCAAAGACCATAGACTTCAGTATGGATTGCAACTCAATGTAAAGAAAACAAAAATCCTCACCACTGGACCAATAAACAACATTGTTATCAACGGAGAAAAGACTGAAGTTGTCAAGGACTTCATTCTTCTTGGATCAACCATAGGCACTCACGGAAGCAGCAGTCAAGAAATCAAACGACATACTGCATTAGGCAAATCTGCTTCACAAGACCTCTTTAAAGTGTTGAAGAGCAAAGATGTCAGCTTGAGGACTAAGGTGCGCCTGACCCAAGCCATGTTATTTTCAATAACCTCAGATGCACACAAAAGCTGGACAGTGAATAATGAAGACGGTAGAAGAATTGATGCTTTTGAGTTATGGTGTTGGAGGAGAATATTGAAAGTGCCATGGGCTGCCAAAAGAACCAACAGATCTGTGTTGGAA